GCTAACAGCGTTGCAAAGCTTGTCATTTTGTATTATTCCTCAAAAAAATGAGTATACATGAGTGGGTGTGCGTTTTTGAATATAATAGTTTTCGTCTGCCGAGAAAATGTGTGTCGCTTCCTTCAGAGATATAGGTATCTATCGGATTCACTGCAATGTAACCAGTCTTTGATATTTGTTATATATCTTCTGCATATCGTATATCTACATAAGTATCATAGAAGGCACAAAGCGTATAATACTGTATAGGGTATATAACAGTGCATAGGGTGTGCAGCGCTGTACAAGAGCATATAGGAATATACAACGCTTATTGATTAGATGCTTCTTCTCAATTTCCAAGAAACTCAGTTAATTTTTCACAACATAGCTCGACTTTCGAATACTAGAGATACAGTAGGCGATGAAAATATGAAGATATTGGATTGCGTAACACCCTCATTTGGAGAGAAACATTCGAAATTTCTGAAGATTGATGTATCAAGATTTCGTGGCATCCTCATAGACTGTCATTCCAGAGAATACTTCACAAAATTGAGTAACTTTGGATTTGTTGCGTTAGTCTTGTAGTATTGTTCATGTTTTGTCTGTTGCACTTTCGTTCATCGAAAAGTATACCACCAGATTTTTAATACTTGGCTCTGAATTGTCCAGATCAACCTGTATATCACCATTGGGAGAAACTTAAAAATGGATTCAGTAATTCATCAAAGACATCATACGTAAGATGTTTTTGCTAAAAAGAAAAAATGACTTCATCAATCTGTTGAACATATATGATGATATAGGAAAATAATACTCGGTTCACGTGCAGCCCTATGAAAGAAAAGGAATCGAAAACATTCTTACATAGGATCAAAGAAAAATATGATTTTTTCTAGATTTTATTCTTTCCGACTTGTTAATTTTTCATACTAGATCTTTTCTTTTGAGATCTCACTGTACAACATAATCGGAAAATGCCGGAAATAGAGTGAAATGTATGGAATATATTTCTCTTTGCTTACTGAATAAGTGTCGAAACTAGTTAGATAAACTTGTTAAAAAGAAGCATATGCTGGTCATTCATCATCGGCTTCCAAGGTATCAATATGATATTTCCGAATATCGTCGCTTTTGCTGCATATATGTTATAATGATAGCTTCTGAGATCCAAAGAAAATCGAGTTGAATGTTTGAAGAGATGAGAGCTCGTAAAAGCTTTTCTAGTTTTGCATGTGACACCTTATATACTCTTACGCACCTTCTCGATATCTAGTTCCTTCTTGTTATATATCCACCTATCCTCTTCCTTTTGAGAAAACGTTTTTTTGAAATAGAAATTCTATTAGACTCCAATGACAACATCTATTGATCCTTAGGAGATTCAATAGAGATTTTCTTGAGATCTTCTACTCATCCCTGGACATCAACTATGGATCCGCTGCATATCAGTCAAAGATCTCTTGAGTTTTCTAGTGATATGGTAGAGAATGTCCCAAGAATTGCTAGAGAGTCTATGTATAACGCTCGGAAGTCTCTTTTATCATACTCATAGTTTGAGATCCGTATGCTTTGGCTAGATGTATAGCTGATTAGTAAAACATGGACTGCGAATTCATGAATTTTGAGCTTACATTTTTTAACCTCATAGTATCAGATGTGGGTGTTCCAGAAATCCAAAACTAAGGTATCGATCTATCTCGAATTCTGATTAGGTGTCGGATACCATTTGCATGTACCTATCGCATTATATCAATTATCTCCGTATCAATATAGCATGCTCGAGATATGAATACTTGAAAATTCGTAACGAATAAATAAGTTATGCAATAGTGATTTTTCTCTATGCATAAATTGATTCTACTTATTCAATTCTATTTTCTGTATCTTGAATGTTTTTTTCACAATCATCTCATTGATTCCTAATGCACATAGTGATTTTCTTTTGTTCGAGATGGATCCTCTGAAAAACAAGCTCAATATAGTAATTCCTTCGCTTGTAGATATTGTATTCTAATTTACAATGTGATGTTATCTATACATAACTGCAACAGTAGGCTGAAAAAATGGAATCATATAAATATGCCTGACATGCATTTATTTTTGTTGAATGTGCAAAGGTAAATCTGAAAAAGAACTTGTATTACATACTATGAAATGACCCAAGACATGTTAGATTAATTATGGGAATTGTTAAAATCTACAATTGTCAATAATCTATAGATCTATAAATGCACTGTGAAAACAGTGACTAGAATGAAGCGCTCGATGACATGATAGAAAATACGAATTTCACACTTGTGTAAGTGTTAACATTTGTTATCTTGCCATAATGTAAGTCATGTCAACATCTAGAACGAAAAACTTGAGACTAGTGGAATAGAAAGAGTAATAGAAGCTACATCATTCATAAACTCACAGAATAAACCATACAACGTAACATACATTAAATAATTTCTCAGAACAGCTAGATTTAATCATGATTAAACAGCATGCAACAGCTGAAAATACTGAATAAGTTGCAAAGAATTTGTTACATGATTATGCTTATTGTAATAATGTTTATTTTTTGTTTATGACAATTATTGTTTAAATTAGAAGGGATACTATGGTGTCAATAATATTAAATGAAAATTTAATATATATTTTCTTATAATGTTCTTTTTTGTTTATGTATTTTGGTTTTTACTCTAATATTTGATTGTTATTGCGACTGTCTAATGAAAACAACTAAACCAGAGTGTGGATGTATGAATTGAGACAAGATTCAGGCTTATTTCATATTTAGGCACACCTGCGCGGTAGCCATATCACAAAGAAGGTGGATGAGGAGCGCCTATGCCATAACCACTTTAAAAGTTCTTCAACAGCGCGACCGTTCCAGCTCCGTGGAGACGATGCATATTTATGACCCGAATATTTTTATAACATATTTACTCGGCAAATATTGATCTATAACATGCACCCTTTTCCCCCTCTCTTCAAACACAGTTCACAAGTAATACTGATAACAACTGTATTTATTATTTATTTTTTGTTTTTTATCTTTTTCTTTGCATCTCTTGTTTTTTTCTACGCCTCCAACAACCAAAATGATGCATTATGAATATATTTATCTATTTATCTTTATGTTTTTTTTATGTCTCTTATCTCTAATTGACGAACCTTTAGACTTATCATGACTTTGAGTCAAACAAAAAAACAATAGACACGCGCAATATTTTTATTGGATAAGTATGTTGACGAAAATCTTTGCCTTTTCTACTTATAAATTAAAAAGTTCCTTTGGGTGAATCTTAGTTGTATTTTTGCAAATATCAAAGTTATCCATCTGATAGATAGCGTTCATACAGATAAATGATATATTCGCCTATATCTCAGGAGTGCTGAGTTCCACTCCAGGATAATGATGATGGATTAATTTTAAAAAACCAAGAATTAATAGAAAATCTATTTTGTGAAAATATATCGTATGACAATGTGAATTTTTGATTAGAAATATCATACTATATATTCGTAGATGACGATGTGACGAAAAGAAGTAAACAAATAAGAGAATATACGTGTATTTTTGTCACAAAATCATCTTTGAATCATCCAATTGCGTTAACATATATACGTTGTTTGCAGATATGATTACATGGATTGCTTCCATTTACATGTTAGTAGATTAGCAAAAGTCATATCTTAGTTTTCATTTCGTGTGAAAGCCTTTTTCTGGATGTTTATTCCACATTAATTATCTTATCATATTTACATCATTCTATCGCACACCTGTTAGTAACTTCTTTGCTGGAAATTATAAAGGTTTCGAAAAAGGTATATGATAGACAATATTGCTAAAATCGAGATATCTATCAACGACAAAATGCTTGTGAATCGTAGTTTTGATCGATACGTCTATGGGTAGTCAACTGCAAAAACCGTAAGGTTCTCAGAAGGTTTTTTTGTCTGTAGAACTTTTCAGAGCTCGTTGAACTGATCATTTTGATAAAAGAATGTTCAAATTTACTCAATAAATCATGTTGCTAGGGTCAAAATACTTGAAAACGTTAACAGCCACTTAACAGCAGCGAGGAGTAGCAGACGTTTTGAAGATTTTAATCCTAGCACCAGGAGTCATTGACTAAACTTGAATATTCTTCTATTGAGACGATCAGCGTGACGAGCTCTGCAAAGTTCTACTGACGAAAGAATCTTGTATCTTTTGAAAGTGACTACTCAAGGAAGTATCGATTAAAAATACGATTCGCACCTATGTTGTCGTTGGCAGTATAATTAGGATACTGCAGTGGTCCATTACGATATAAAAATTGTGAAGTATAAATCAATAGAAGGATTATTTGTATGCTGTCTATACTTCGAGTTTTGAAAACCGGACTACGCTATATCTTTATCGAAATCTTTACAACATGCAGAAAAGAAGTTATAGAGAAACGTCTAATAGAATGATGTGCATATAATAAAATAATTATCGTGAGTAAATGAATAGAAAAAGACTTTTGTAGAGGGCGAAAACACGTTTCAAGTCGAAAGAAAACATACAAATTCAAAATAGAACGTGTTCAAACGCAGATTTCGAATTTTTTTCGTAGGGACTTGAATGAATAAAAATACTAAATAGAGGATAAGACTAAAGGAGATATGGCTCGATAAACTGAAAAACTTCAATTCTTCAATTTTGACAATATGGAGTATTATTTGTCTTACGTCTTGGTTACCTTACACTAGAAAGAAAAGTTTCTAGAACAAAAAAAAACGCTTAATACAAAAATGTATATCCACTGTGACATTTTGATGCCATTGGCAGAATATTTGTCATGCTTTTTTGTAACTTTCTCATAGGAATTATCACTGTGAATCATGATTGAAAAAAACCCGAGGAAGTAGTAGAACGCGATAAAAACAATGGTTGAATAAAAGAACATGTGAAGGTATTCGCCAGAGTATATTCTTTCTTTTTCATAAGCGGGATTCATTTTTCGTACGACACACATTGCAAACAGGAATAAAAAAGCATGGGAGACTCAATGTCAAAACCAAATGAGGAACTTTCAAAATCGGATGAGGAACTTTCAAAATTATATGACATACTTGGAGCAGCAAAAACTGATAAAGATTATGCCTTACGTGTGGCATATCGTGCACGAATTCATGAATACAAGAATGATCGACTTAAAACCCCTGAAAATCGTAAAATTAAACCTGAAAACTTTCGACTTATTTGTCGAGCTTATGAAACATTATCTGATCATGATAAACGTAAAAAATATCACCTCGATGGAGAATGGATACAAGATGTACCTTTGGAAAAATATACATTACAACAACTAGCTGCTGAACCTGAACTCGTAAGACAATTAAAAATTCGTTTACAAAATGCAACATTACGAGACATAAATGCACAAAATTCACAAACAGGACACACTGCACTTTATTGTGCAGCACGTACTGGTAATGTTGAAGCTGTCTATTATTTAACAGAACAAGGAGCTGAACCTGATCTAGCACAGAGAACAGGAAGTACAGCTCTACATGTAGCTGCTTTTTATGGACATCCAGAAGTAGTTCGTTGTTTATTAGAAAGTGGAGCTGATTATCGAAAAAAGAATGGTGGTAAAAGTACAGCAGAAGATGAATCTTTTAATGATGATGTAAAGCAAATGTTTACCGAATTGAAAAACACACCTTTTGTACAAGCAGCTGCAGATCAACTTGATTGGTTTAAAGATAATATTAGTAATATGTCACAGCATATTGATGAAGAATATTATGTGCAACGACAAACATTACTTCATTGTGCTAGTAAAAAAGGTTATATAGATCTGGTTCGTTGGTTAGTCGAAGAACGCAAAGCCAATTTAGATATAATTGATATTAATTTAAATTCACCTTTACATCTTGCTGCTCATGGTGGACATAAATCAGTTGTTGAATATCTCCTCAATCGAGGTGCTAATCCACTTTTACTAAACAAATGGTGTTTGACAGCTGAACAAGAAGGTATTATCCATGAAACAACTATTACGGATCTATTTCAATTGATGCACAAACGAGATATGTTTGAAATGGCTGCTAATGGTATCGATTGGTGGTTTGAATACTATTTTGGTGATAAATCACCGGATACCGTTAATGATAATGGTACAAATTTATTGTATGTTGCATGTCGTTATGGTCGAACATCGGCTGCGAAATGGCTTTTAGAAAAAGGAGCTAATGTTAATATAAAACTTTTAAAAGATTCAGAAAGTACACCATTACATAGTGCTGTCTTTCATGGACATGTTTCCACAGTTGATCTATTATTAAATTATGGAGCTGATGTAAATATAAAAAATAAATATGGTTCAACTGCTATTAATGATGCAAAAACGGATGAAATAAGACAAATTTTAAAACGATACCGAGATAATTTAGACGAAAATAAATTTTTGTCCGTGTATCTATATGGTGATGGTGCAAAGTCTGGTAATGAACCATTAGCAAAATTACAATTACATTGTGATGCTACATATAATGATCTTGTAAATGCAATGCCTGACTCAATACGATCTAACTATCCAAGTTTTTCTATCGCTCGACGCCCATTAAATTTTGAGGAAGATGACACAACAATTCTATCAGCTGTATGTCGTGCTCGATATGGAAAAACGAAATTTGTCCAATTACCACTATGTATAACAGCACATGAAAGAGCACGCTATACACATTCTGGTCATATTCTCGGTAAAAAACTTCCTAATCATCCTATGCGTAATGTTGATGGTAACTTTCGCGCAAATTGTCAAAGTTCATCAATAGAAATTAGTGGTCAATTGAATCAAGATAAAACATTTACATTTGAAAATTTATCGTTTACGTTTTCAAAGAATTGTGCTAATGAAAATCTTTTGATTGATATTGATTATATAATATCACCAGAGTTTGATTTATTCCATTTACCAGAATGTATTTGTGTTTTTAAAACAAAATATCATGATAAAAGCGGTAAATTAAAAGATATGCCAACGCTATCATTTGATGGTGAACCAAATGCTCGACTATATAATTGGGCACAACCATCGTCTTATTGGTATTCTTATAGAACACGACAAACACGTTTAGTTTCAATTGGTGAAACACATGCTTTTGTTCGTCATGCTGATATAATTCCTTCTCTATTAACTCTTCCACCAGATATGTTTATTCAGGCTGCTGTTGGAACACTATTGGAAACGCGTAATACACCTGTTCCCTGTCGATGTTTAAAAATTCGTGAACACAATAAAAAAGATTTTCCTCATATTGCTTATCATGGAACAAATGTAAAAGCTATAGAATCAATTCTTATGGATGGACTTGTTATGCCAAGTACTGTAGTCTCCTGTGGTTTACGAATTTGTCCACCAATCAATCATATTGCGCGACAAAAAGCACTTTTTGGTATCAAGGATTTTTCAAATGGAATATTTGTGACACCAAGTATACACTATTGTTCAGATCCAGCATATGCAGTCACGTTTACACATGGTGATGAACGTCTCATATGTCTGTTAGAATGCAGTGTAAAAGATGATTCATTCAAGGGTTTTAAAAGTACCGTGAAGACTTACGTTGCTCATCCCGATGACGATATTAATACAATCGAATGGCGCCTAGAAAATCCAGCAAATATTGAAATCATATCTGTACTTTTCATTCCTGTGATAAAATCAAAAGTTGAAGAAGCTATATTGAGAGCTAAGAAACTTGGTGTTGATCCAAAGTGTTAGATGAGAAATGAACAATGAATTTTATCGTTTTATAGTCATTACTCTTTTTAAAATTTTTATTTGCTGTATGATTTGTCTGCTTGTAAATTATAGTTCATTAAATGGTTCGGAAAAATTTCTTTAAAAATATTTATTACTTTATTTATACAATTCTTGTTGAAGAAGCTTTTGAAAAGCAGATGAATCGAACTTTCTTTTTAATATGGATTAACCATTTTAATAACAAAACTGTGAATATTTTCAGCAAATATTGTTGTCATCTGATTTATCTTAGATATTATCAATCGAATTTTGTTAGAATTTACAAAAAATATCTTGGTCTTCGTTTATTCGTGATTTATATTGTATTTCGCTCAGACAAGACCTTGTAATTGACTAGTGAATGTAAACCTATATTTGGAAATTTTCCTATTCGAATATTTTCAGATTTTAACTCAGATACATTGATCATAGAATAAAGAATATAATAATGTAATGAAATGAATTGCATTGTCTTGAAAAATTGTATTCTAATGATAGAAACATAGAAATTTATTTCACCTATCTGAACAAGTGATTTTATAGAAATGTTTGATTGATTGTTGTTCTGATTCAAATTTTCATCTATTTTGGCTTACAAAAAACTCTCCTAACACATCATGCTACTTTTGAACTCATCTTTTGCTCATAAGTAGAAAATTTCGAAGTTATTGTTTTTCAGGCGTTGATTGTAATTATTCTCTGTCATTCTTTTGTCCAACATTGTCGACGTCGTCCAAATCTTGATTTATTTCTAAGTGCTACTAGATACTTCGCTAATTCTCTATTTTCATTATGATTTTGTTCTTGTTGAAAATGGACACGATTAGAACAGATTTTGATCTTATAATGGAACGGTTTAAAATTTTTTGTTAAAAAGATCGACTATGCTCGGGTCAAATGATCACTTTCACTGAGAAACTAACCAATTGAATATATGACATGCCCATAACGAGCCTGAGTCGAGGGATTGGATTTTTCGGTGAATTTTGTCTGCAGGACCCCACTTTCTCAGCAAAATTGTAAATTTGAATTTCGACCTGAAATGGTACACATGAAGATCTCAATGAGACTACCTTGCAGAAAAAAATTCTGAATTTTTGGACAAACTCTCTTCGAAATACGACTCTCTCAAAATACAGCCCCCCGCCCCCACCTTCCCCTAAATTTACGTTCCATTTTCCACAATATAATCAGCATAATTTATCCACTAATTAACGGTTTCAACAGATCGTTTACGGAAACTGAGAAAATTTTTATACTTAAGCCTAATCATAGATGGGTTATTGTTGGATTAACTAGTATAATGTTCCACTGTCTAGAGACTATGATGCAAGTTGCAAAATTACAGGTTGCCTTCAGAGGATTTCAAAGACAGCAAGAGTTTTTCGCTTTACCGAGTAAATCTATTCGATACAGCACAGTCTTGACTTTTCTCGGAAGTCAAATGAATAAAAAATGAAAAATATTCAGTAAGTTTTATTGAATTGAAAATTTTGAAATCGAAGATTTTCGACCTTATACGACCATTTTCAACCTAATCATCTTTTAAAAGATCATATGTAAAGCGAAAAAAAGCAAAAAATAAACAAAAATAAAAACATCTTCTACTAACATAAATCTGAAGATCATAGTATGCATCAATATTATTGTATAATCAATGAAAAACATCCATTAATAATAAGAAGAAATAAAACACATGATATATGATTAGGATGATAATGATATCTAAATCTGTCCACAATACATATAACTAAAACTAGCGAGTACTCACGTTGTGTGTGCTGCTATATACTAATAATAGTAATAATAATCTATGAAATCCAAATTCCTGATTATACTTAGGGTTATCCAAAAGTAATGGCGGAGGTACCTTTTTTCTTATAGAACGTTTGAAAAACTTTTTCCTTTTTATGAACAGGTAGAGCGTCTTTCGCTCTATTTTTCTATGCTATTTGAACACTATTCAACTAATACCATAATAATAAAATTTCGACAAGAACTGCTTTTGTTGAATACTAGCTGGTAACATTTAGATCATAATGGGTGTGGCACTTTTGCATTTCATTTTATCATCACATAATACGTTGTATTAAAAAACAAAATATACCACAAGATACAGCGTGAAAAGCTCTACAATTTATAAAGGATTGCTTATTTTATAGTTGCACTTTTTGTTATCAAAACGGACAAAACTGTGAGCTACTAAATTTCGACTTTGCGACAACGAGATTGGTTTTTCGTAAAAGACAAACTCGGTTTTTTCTATATAATCTTTTTATAGTTGTTCTTTGTAAATTGTAGAGCTGTTGATGCTGCATCTTGTAATGTATTTTGTTTTTTAAAATAAAACATATCAGGTAATAGAAAGATGAGATAGGAAAAACCGAATTCGTCTTTTACCAAAACACAATCTCGTTTTCGCAACGTCAAAAGTTGGTAGCTCAGAGTTTTGTCTGTTTTGAAAACAAAAAGTGCAATTATAAAATAAGCGATCCTTTATAAATTGTAGAGCTTTTCACGCTGTATCATGTGGTATATTTTGTTTTTTAATACAACGTATTATGTGATGATAACATGAAATGCAAAAGTGCCACACCCATTATGTTCTAAATGTTACCAGCTAGTATTCAACAAAAACAGTTCTTGTCGAAATTTTATTATTATGGTATTAGTTGAATAGTGTTCAATTAGCATAGAAAAATAGAGCGAAAGACGCTCTACCTGTTCATAAAAAGGAAAAATTTTTTCAAGCTTTCTATAAGAAAAAAGATACCTCCGCCATTACTTTTGGATAACCCTAAGTAAATTTTCAAAACAATCAAGCTTTATTTCAAGATTCTGCACATTTTTCATGTTTACGTATATATTTATTTGATTTTGATTCTAAATCAAGATTCAAATTATTTCATATATTGTAGTTTATTATATTTTTATAATTGACAATAATCATTAATTACTCACAAAATCGATTAAAAAAATTCATGATCTCACGCTAGCTACTCTTGACACGATAGAACTTGCAAGCAACTTTTATTTCTCTTCATTGAGATCTGTTAATTCAAGAGAACAAGAAGTTGACGTTCAGTATTATAAGTCTTGTCTCGATGAAACATCATCTTTTCTTACGTTACTCGAATCACCACCAAAATCTATAACGATAACAATTGCCAACACTCTACTCTAGTTCACTGAATCATCTGCACTAGCAAAAGAAAATCAATGATTATTATTAAAAGAACAATAATATGCAATACTAATGTCCTCGCCAGAATAAAAGAGGGGTGAGTGTAAGTTCAATAACTCGACAACCGCAATAGCTAGCTACCTGTGGTTTTCAGCAATCGAAAGAGGAGGAGCGGGCACGTCTTTTTCTCCGATAATGTATACGACGAAATTCTTTTACAACTAATGATATTTGAAAAACATGCAAAAGAACTNATAATAATAAAATGTTTCAAATAATTTTCGAACAATAAAAAATGCTTTACTCGTAATTCACCAAAAGATGATAACAATCCAGCTCCATAAGCTTTTTTTTCATTGTTTTCCAAACATAGACCAAATTCAACAGTAAACCAATACAATGTTGCTATTGAAATAAAAAACTGTTAGTGCCATCCTTGAAGGATTAAAATATGAAACATGTTGTAGCTCCTATTTCTAATCACAGAGAAAGTCATTTTGTTCTATCTATTTTTGGGCAGATTTCTTCATTATCATATTACTTAATCTTCCTGAAATGCAATAACTGAGTAGTTCATATATTATAACGAGACATAATTGGTATACGGTCTATGATCGTATATCAATATCTGCCATGGTCTGTGGTGGTCTCTAACTATAGCCCGTCGAATAGGTTCCGAAATCGGATCCGATCGAGTCCAATTCTGGGTCGAATAATTTTCGATGCGAAGGGCTCTATCTCTGACTAATGTCTGTCACAGTTTGTAATGATCTCTAGCTAGCAGCTATCACTATCTGTGGGGAGAGACAAATATACATCCTTATACTTCAACTCTCATTTTACATCGTGTTTCACAATAATAAATATAGCAAAATACTACTCAAAAAGAATTTATACCTAAACGAGTAATATATTCATCAGGTGCGCCTAAACTAGCCATGCCAATTTCTTGACTAAATTCGGCAAAATCTGGATCAGCAAAAAGCGGTACATGACCAAGTAATTCATGGCAAACATCAGGTTCAGGTGTATACATAGGTACACTATGATGGCGAATGTATTGCGTTGAATGAAATACACGAAAAGCTAAACCAGCAAGAAAATCACGTGATGATAAAAGACCTTAATAAACAAATTGATATTAAATAAAAAGAAAAAAATGAATGATATAAAACTTGTAACAAACCAGCAACTGGTCGAAGTCGAAAACCAGAACAATCTTGAAGAAATAGTGAAACATCTTCTAATTGTGGAATGTTTGATTCATTATAACCACAATTATCAATAAGTAATGGAAGTACATTATTAAATTCTTTACATGCATGTGTTGGATAAAGTTGTGTTAATTCACGAAAAACAGTAGCCCATGTTACAATCTCTTGTTCATTATAGGTAACACGTGGTATTGGTTGACCATGACGATATTGATTAGCAATATCAGCAAATTCTTTTCGACGTTTTCGATAGAGTACATCACGAAAACCAGGATGATCAGCATCAAGTTCAGCTCCATATGAAAGAACACGATTTGCAAATTGATCAAGATCACGTATTTTTCGTGGAAACCAAGGTGCTAAATAAGAACAAATATATATAGATATATGTAAAGAAGTATTCAATTTTAAGCAATGAAAACAAATATCAACTTACTTGATTCATCCAATGTATTATGAGCTTGTGAAAGTACATGAAGATATTTTGAGTCTTCGCGTAATTGTTTAATAGCATCAGTTACAGAACCCATAGTATTATCACATTCAACATAAAATTCATGATCAGTCTTATTTTGACGAGATAATCGTGATTCAATACGAAGTAAATTGATACCATGTTTCTAAAACAGCATCATAAATAAAACTAATTCGTTTTTTGTTTTTCCTTAAAAATCAAGGACAAAAATGAAAGGAAGCAATCATCAAATATTAAAAAGTTGATCAATATAATTATAGATCTGCTTATATTTATTATTGTTAATATAAATAGTTATAAGTAGAGAAGAGCAATATGATTTATGATTATTAGTTCAAACCTGATTCCATAATTGAAGAAAGGAATAGCTAAACGGATTATTTATATTACTGGGTAAGATAAAAATATCAAGTCAAGTCTGAATGTCTTACTTCGAATACGTGCAATGCTTTTGCTAAAGCACCCACTTCTTCATTAAGTGAAAATATTAGCGTTGTTTTCGATGAATGATTTTCTTTCTAAAAACATAAAATATTCACATTTCATAACATTTGAATAAAAACAAAAAAAGCAAACCTCTGTCGGGGCAAATTTAGCTGGTCGATCATACTTATTGTCTTCATTGATCGGCACATTATTATTCTAATGTACAAAAGGAAATTAATCGAAGAATTCCTTTTTTTGTGACTTTTAACAAACCTCATATAAAGTACCCATGATATTCGTTAATGGTTCAAATATTGAATAATGATTTATTTATGTATGATAATATAAAATCGTCGACGAAACAGTAAGATCATTCTAAAACAGACACAGATATTTATTTCTTTTTTTTTTTGTTAATTTAGGCGTCAGCAGGACGCAGAAAAAGCAGTGAAGAGGATGTAACTTAATAAAGATAATAATTTTTCACGAAAAATATAAGAGAAATACGCATGTAGTACAAATAAAGAGCGGGCAACATTTGGCTACAAGTGATCATCGTATAAAAAATCTTGAAAATGTGACTGATCATGTCTATCATCATGTTCCACTTTGATATTTCTTATTCATAAAATTCGTTGCTTGAACAATAGACGTTTTTAAACGATAATACAGATTGTTACAATAAAACAGACAAAGAAAAACTTAGACAGTAATTTTCAAAAAAAAAAAAAAACTTTATTAATCTAATGTCATTGGTGCAGCTCGTCGTGTTTCCGTTGCATTTAATTGTGTTAATTGTTTGAGTTGTAATAAAACTTTCGCTCGGTAATTTTCTTCACGATCAAATGCTGGATTGTCATGAACATAAATACATTGTAATGTTTCCATTGATGCAAGTTTATTTAATTCATCAGCATTTTTAATTTGATTATTATTAAACCATAATTCTTTGAGATTATGAAGTGTTTGAAGATTATCAAGATGTTCAATTTGATTTTTTGATACGTCAAGTACATTTAAATTAATATTTGCGTCAAGATTTTCAATTACTTTTATACGATTTTCAGATACATAAAGTTCTTTTAATTGAGTTAATGTTTCTAATCCTTCAATTTTTGAAATTCGATTAGCGCCCAAACCAAGTATGCGTAAACGTGTAAGTGTTTGTAAATTTTCAATTTTTTCAATTTTATTTTTACCAAAATGTAATTCTTCAAGTAGAACAAGTGTTTCTAAATTCTCAATTTTCTAAAGACAAAAAAAAACAAATAAAAAATTAATATTTCTATTTTCTTTTATATAAAATACACTAACTTTAATTCGATTATCACCTAATTCAAGTACACGCAAATTGACCAATGTTGAAAGATTTTCAACTGTTCGTAGTTGATTATGAACCATAAAAAGAGCTTCAACATCAGTTAATGTAGATAAATTTTCAATGACCGAAATTTTGTCTACGAGAAAAAAAAAATAAAGTCGATTGTTGCAAAAGCTCTGCATTAATTTTATTTTCAATATCGCATGACAACAACTCGTCGTGAAGACTTAAATGTTTTCTTGTTAGAAAGAGTAGTATTTCCTTGAAAATATTTATTGAATACTGAAAAGTGCATTGCAACTTTACACGAAGTCACTGATAAGAAGTACATTTTATTGATAAGTCGTGGACTCGACTTTCGAAATTTATAAGCGTATTATACGTCAGTGTGATCAATCCGACGTGGGCTTCCTAATAGAATAAAAATATTCAAGTTACAGAACTGTCAGTTTCCTATAAGAAATAGTTTTATAAAAAGTTTCATTTTCTCTCAACAACACTCAATGAAGTTTTTCTCATGATGTCAGACAGAAAAATAGCTTTATTGATAATGTGATTTTGTTAAAGGGTTCATTAGAGTTCATCGGGTTCGAGTGTGCAAATGTTGGATCCGATGGGCTCTAGTCGCCTGAGGAATGTATAGAATATAATAGTCGCAGAATACAAAAAACTGGAAAAAAAATATCTTGCATCTTCGGAGAGACTATCCAATTCTAATTAGAAAATGTCAATCAACCCACTCTGAGCCCAAGAAATGTTCACTATACCGGACCCAAAAATTTTGAACCCGACGTGCTCTACGGCTAACAAAACTCATTTAATATAAAATATGAAGTATCACTAAATTCAATTTCTTGAAAAAGTTTTATTTATTGAAATCACTTATTAGTAGTCAATACTTTTTTTCAGTAAAGGTCGCTAGAAAAATGTGATGTCAGACTCGACCGATATCTTGAAAATATAACTTTTTATCTGTTTGCAATGTTCTATCGTAGCACTACATAACCTGCTAAGTTCTAATAATAAATATAGTAAATCTCGACAAAGAGTTGTTGACGCGCTATACTGAAAACAAAATTAATGTAGAAGTATTGCGTCACTGGTTAATTGATTTTTTTTACATACTAAATGATAGATCAACATGTTTTAATTGAACCAATGAATTTAAACCTTCAATTCGTTCGATATGATTATCATATAAATCAATATGTTTAAGTGTTGTTAATTGTGAAATATTTTCAATTTTATTTATTAAATTTTGACGCATATTTAATGTTTCAACTTTAGTTAAACCATCAAGTCCTTCAATTGATCGAAGACGGCATGCAGTTAATTCAATAATCGTTGAATCCGGATCAATAACAATTGTTTCAATAGGTGTTTGAGGTTCTTCTTGTCCTTCTGCATTTTCACCATTTGATAAGATATTTGTATTAATTTTTTCAACATTCGACATGATAATTTTATTTGTTCGAACAAAAAAAGAAAAATATCTGAAAGGAAAAAAAAACAAGGAATAAGTTCAAACAACATTTTATTTAATACACAAGAAGCGAAGAAAATCATAAATTTATATCAATGAAAACAATAGATGATTGGTTTACTGAACACTATTTAATGTAAAGGAGATTTTTTGTCGTGTTTTATTTTTGCCTAAAATAAGATTTTGTTCTTTTGCATGTTGTTTGCCTAATTGTCGTTCAAATCGTTCTCGATCTTCCATTAAACGTAATTGTTCGGTACGTAATTTTTCTTCTTCTTCAGCCTAAAAATAATAAACATCATTGGAATTTTTTCTTTCTAAATTGTAATTTAATAATTTACAAGTAGCTTTTTAGCTTCAGTTAATTTACGTTCATTTTCGACAAGAATTTTTTCTAAATCTTCTCGTTTTTTTCTTTCTTCTTCCTGTAAAACGATAATAAGAAGAATTCGAATAATCAAATAAAAAACTAATATATAATTACTTCTTTTGCAATTAATTTTCTTATTTCTTCATGATTACGTTTTTCAATTTCAATTAACATTTGTTTCTCCATTGTTCGCTTTAATACATCAACACGTCGTTTAACTTCATTTTCAATTTCATCTTTACGACGTTCAAGTTCTTCACGTACACGTATTTCAACAATATCTTTTACACGTCGATCAACTTCAGCTTGAATTATATTTTCACGAGTTTCTTTTTGACGTCTATTGAAAACAAAAATAAAAATTCAATAAAACTAAATGAATACTAATTTATATTTACAATAATTGTATACGCTCTCGTTCTAATTCAGCTAGTCGATCAATTTCAGCCTTTTTACGAGATGCTAAATCATTTAATTCATTTAGAGTAGTTTTTCGACTAATATTCGTTGTTGATAATGAATCTTCACGATTATCATTTGATGATTCACTTGTCGAACGACGATGAAATCTATATGTAATATAAGAAGAATATTTCTTATACAGAGAGTACTAAAATTATTTAACAAGGTTTATTTTCAATTATTTTTTCACTGTCGTAAGTGTTAGAAAGAATTCCAATAGAGAAAATTGTTTTCAAAAGAAATATAATGACATAAAAATTATTATCAAATCCCCAGAGATAGAGGTTCTAGGAACACTAAAAGACTAGCGTTTCAACACCTAGAACGGATAAATTTAATTTTGTTTAGATTACATAGAACGATATATTAAACCATCCTCTACAAAATGAGGTGTCTAGGAATTTTCTGTGACGCTTTTTGGCTGAGCTATAGCAGTTTGATTAAAGATCAAAAATAGTTTCTCTATAGGAAATTGAGAAAAAAACGACTTTAGGGACTTCTGCATGAGCGCTGTGTCTCAGCCAAAAACGACATTATACACAACTCGGAGACACTTCATCTTGTAGGGAATTGATTGCTCTATCGTTCTATTTGGTTTAAACAAAATTATATTTATCCGTTCTAGGTATGAAAAAGTAGCCTTTTGGAGCCCGTCGTTACGTAAATGATGAATTACCGTTTAGTTTTTATTTCTTTTTCTCGATCATGTGAACGTGATCTATGTCGTGTTGAAGAACTAGTTATCGAACGATCTTTTGATCTATTTCGATCATGTGATGATTTTCGTCGTTTATGTTTTTTGTTCGAAGGACTACGTGATCGACCCATCGTGTTGTAATACAACACGAAATCTAAACAAAGTTAAAATGAAATTGTTTGTTCTATACTTGTTTGAAGAAAACAAAAAACAAAAAATGAGAACGAATTTCAAGAGTAAAAAAACTAACAAAGAAAAGGCATATTTAATCATATCGACACTTCCATGTTTGACAACGACTAACCTAAAAAGGAAAGATGAGAAAAAAAATTATTAAAATGTTTTCAATAAAATATAAACAATCGAGAAAAGTAACCGGATGTACTTACCCATGATATATCCTATAAATGTTCAAAAGACATGACATATGTAAAACAAAAATTCAAAACTCTTTTTTTTAATGCTTATGAATTTATTCCGTAGAAAAAGAAGATGGAAACTAATAAGAAGCAAACAGAAGAAAAATTCGTTCTGTTCAATTTAAAAGGCAAAGAAATATTACTTCAATGTTTCCATAATGATTGCATTTGTTCATTATTTCTTGCGACGATACATCGTAAATATTTGTCATACACAAAATAAAATTAATTTATTATTCTTGATTTTGTTTCATTGTTTATTTTAAAGTTAATTTTTTGATAATAAGTCTCCAGCTAATATAACCAATGTTCTCCTGAAGTACATTTAAAAAACTTGAAACAATTGAAATGAAATGAGAAGAGAAATGAATAAATAAACAAAAAACAATAGTGAATATAAATTTTGATTCGCTTCAAAGATACACTTTGAAGCGAACAATATCTATCATAGAGGGCAGTATCTTCCGTTTTCATATGATACATCGGCGTTGACGTAGATCATATATGTGATATAAGCTGCGAAAAAAACAATCGATTAA